CCTTTGTGTGGCGATTTCTCTCGAGTGCATTTCATTGCTAAGATTGAAGTGAAAGAGTCTCACAAGCTGCTGGAAATTACGAAATTGGCAAATCGAATACCAATTCTTAAAGAAAATATATAAATTATTTGAGGATAGCTAAAAACAGTGCATTCTGATATCATTTTCTATGTTTCTTATTTATTATTTTTATTAGAATAGATTATCCATTAAAAGCCAAATTGATTTTTATTTATTCTTTAACGTTTTTATTATCAAACAACAACTTGGGTTTTCTCTAAGTACTGGCCAACCGTTCGCCTTCAATTTAGCTAACTGCTGACCTAATCCATGAATCAAATGTGCACAATAGGCATTTATTTATGAACTGGCTGCTGTCCACAGCTTCTGGAAACTTCTTAATCCCAACAATTCGGCAGTCCACAAAGCATTGCGTACTATATTTTATTACCTGACTGCTGCAGTTGCAGTTCAAATGCAGTTCGTAGGACGAGAAACATGCAAAATAATAATAAATCCTTTGTTTAAACAATGCCAGGCAGTTCCACTCATCTTGTTCCCTATTTCCCTCAAACAAGTCACACAAAAATTAAGCTTGTATGGTATAAGGTATTTCAAATATGCAGTGCGTTTTTGTTTTAAGTCAAAGAGAAACCTAATAAAATGTATGAACCTTTTTGGCAGTAAGCAGTCGCAATACAATAGAGTTCTCTTTTTCTGCGGAAATACAGAAATCAAAATTACCCGATAGAATCGATACCCCCAATGCATTGCAGCTCTCAAATCAAAAAATTAAATTGCATAAATAACGTATACGTATTAATGCGTATACGTAATAGAAACGAGAAGTGCTGCTGACTGCCGCCAGGTGGCGCCTGTCGCTGTCAGGTTTATGAACTAATTGAGGCACAAACGGCAACTGACTTCGGTCCGGATTCTGTCTGCTCATGCTGTCACACACTTCACAAACAGCAGACAGACACGCCCACCGCCTTCACCGCCCCTTTCCCCTTATAGCCCCTTAACAAGTGACAAATAGGCGTATAAGCAATGCTGCTGCGATGGCATCAGTTCGCATTCATTATGCATTACAAGCTGCTTAACCGACTCGCCGGATCCTCGGCGATTTTTCCATTAAATTACACCGAAACTGGCTGCTCTGACAGTACCAGAAGTCCCACCGCCTCCATCCCGCCAGGAATCTTAATGGGAAATGGAAATTCGAGGAAAAGAAAATGCTCCCATTACTTCTTATTTTTTTCGCCCCAATCGCGGGGAGTTCAAGATTGCGAGGCCTCATAATTGGCTTAACCGCAGGAAGCGAGGAGAATCCCGCGGAGTAGCAGTGTTAAAGTGGTAAATATGTCAGCGGCAGTAGAGACATAAATTTTCGTTAAGTAGACGCGCACACGCAATCGCTGCCAGAAAGTAGAAGAATCACTTCGCGTAGAATCCAAACCCGAAAGATGAAGATGTGTTAGGAGTTACACTAAAACAAAAACAAAATGAGCATTAAAAAAAAAAAAGAAATTAATTAATAATAATAAAAGTAATATATGTATATGATATTACTTATGTATATTTTACATTCAATTTAATCGCCTTTAAAATATTAGAATTGCAAAGGAGTTATACAATAATTCCCAACAATTTTTTATTTCCTTAATTTTTGTAGTTCAAACTTTAATTTTTTAATATTTCAGTAACTGTATTTTGAAGATTAAACTAAATTATGCTTTACATATTTGCTTTCTGTGTTGTAGGCTATAATCAGTTGGTCTAATCTTGCTGCGCTTGAATGATGATGATGTGCCACGCCCACCGCCTTCCGTCTTCCGCCTGCTGCGCACATACACGCTCATGCACACGGACAAAGCCTTAATTACAACGTGCCAAGAGTTAAGCTGAATATTTTTTGGTTCTTGTTTTTTTTGGCAGCAGAAGACGAATGAATTGCTGCGGTGTGCCCAGAAACGAAGGCGGGCGTGCGGAGGAGGGTTAAGGTATTGGGGGCGTGGTCCTGAAGGGGCCAAGAAATTTTTTGGGAGAACACGTGCGCACATGTGCAACTTCCGTTAAAAATCTATTGCTAACTTTCAACAATTCACAGACACAAACGTGGCCAGACACACATACGCACACCCACATAAACACCCACACACACGCATACAGACACACACACACACACACACTAGAAAGGTGCGCGCTTTGGCTGTTTGTGTAAGTGAGTTAGAGTTTCCTGCAGCTGTCGTGGCAACTTCCGGTTCCTCTTCTTCTTCTGCTGCTTTTGCAACAACGTTTACGTCGACGCCAAAGTCCATGTCTCAAGACCCGAACCCCAAACCCCCTGGAAACCCCACCCATGTCCCTCCCTCTATCTCCTGCATGACGGCTAAAACACTTATTTGGCTTAAGGCTAAAAACTCAAAGCCAAAAATAGCAATAACAACAAAAAGCAGCCCGAAGGAAATTTCTGGAGGTAGAAAACTTGCATTAGCAAGAGCCAAGATAATACACTTTAGAAGATCGTGGTACATCAAATTTAAATGTTTATATTCAGGAATTAGCATATTAGTAAACAGAAAAGAAAAGTACAGTTTTTTGGCAAATAGGAATAATTAATTTCAAAAACCTAAAACTGAATGCAGTCAAAATTATAATATACAGGAATCCCTCAAAATATGATTCTATATACCTTAAAACTTTACCTAACCTTTACCTGTAGAAATCAAATGAATACACGTCGAAGGACTTCTTTTGAACAGATTGTAACGCCTTGTTTGCTAGGTATACATATTGGTGCACTATTATAAGCATACTCCATTTAGCGATTCCCTTTGCCACTGCAGTATTTTTCTGAAAACAAGCATCTGTAATCAACAGACGGAGATAGTACGGATGGCAAAGTGAGTGGTACGCATGCTGCTCCCTCTGTGTGCTTAAAAAATTGCACAAAGTTTAAGCTTTGTGTGCACGTGTGCATTGGGTTGTGGGTGCCAGGGGGGTAAAGGGGAGTATTGGGGGGTATTTGGGGGTGAATGGGAAGTAAGGAGAACGGCGAGGCAGTCGTGGAACTGTTGCTGAAGTCACGTAATTCAAATAACTAAAGTTGGCGTAAATATGCAGAGCATACAACACACCCACTCGAACTCGAATGGAGTTGAGTTACTGGCAAAAGACAATTGCTCACGCACTTACTTGCTGTTGGCCCGGCTTAAAGTTCATTAATTTCTCTCACCCTGGTTGTAATTTGTTTTAAGCAAACAACCGATGAGAAAGCTGCAGGCTCACAGAAGCGCTTACGTTTCTGCAAGTGCAATCCCAAATACAAAAATATATTAACGTTTTTAAAGATGCTCCCAAAATGTAATTACTAAACTAAATATATTACCCCTGAGAAACTATTACATTAAATCAATCCTGAGCTTTAAAGAAAGAAATGTGATGAGCTGCTAATTACACGCTAAGCTCCTCTTTTTGCCAGCTGAAGAGAAAAGGAGAATAAACACTTCAGCAGTGCAGTTTGGCCAGCACTTGGCTTAAGTCCTCCTCTCGAGAGGTCCTGCCTTATGAGCCATGTCGGGATTCTGGCTCTGGACGTCTGTTGCGTAATTAGTTACCAGATTTGTCTGCGCAATTCGCGCGGCTACTTTATATGTTAATGAGTTTTTGCCAGACCCACTTGGCAAAAGTCCGCTCGCCTTTTGACACAAATTTCCTTTGTCTTGGCCATGAGTGGAGTCTGTGGTTTGGGACAATTGAATTGGAAAACAGCATTCGCGGCTTACATAATGCGACACTGACCAAAAAAAATCCTTTCTTTTTATGGCGCTAACAAAATACGAACGTACATGCTTTATATCATATAATCATATATTTACACGTGCAGAATATTATTAAGAACTATTTATTTGATTACCAAATAATATTGAATGACACCCATTTTTCACTTGCTAAGCTTTCTATGTAATATTTTTCCTGTGTGCACTTTATAGGAGCTCCTCTGGGGAGAAAAAGAAACGTTGAAAATTGCACAAAATATGAAAGTCGCTGTCCTGCTTATCGCACAAATGGCATGACCGGGAAATGGGGGTTTTTTCGGAAAGGGTTGGGGAATAATGCAGGACGGAAGGGAAGAAGAAGAAGAAGAAGGGGGTACAGGAAAACTCTGCTAAAGCGGCCGCTTTTTGCCAAAGTTCAAATTGCATTTCGCAAAAAGGAAGGCAACGGGCGAAAAGAAAATGTGCATGGCAAAAACCATTTTTTGATAGACAGCGGGAAAAGCAGGAAAAGCGAGAAAAGTCCTCATGTGTGTGTGTGTTTTTGAGTGTGGCAACATTTTCTTATCTAAACAATATTGCGACTACTGCACTTGCAAAGCGACAACAACAACGAAATCGCTTCTATGGCTGATTGAACAAAGTTTGTATGCATATACTTTGCTTTTGTTGTTGCAATAATATCAGGGTATTATAAGGTAGTTTTCAAAAAAATTACAAAGAAAATTTTTAAATATTTAGATTAAATAATAAATAAAAATTACCACAAATATTTCTATAGATTCAATGTTTATTTTTGATATATGTAAAGCTTCACAAAATTCTGGGGTATCAAAGAGTTCCAAGAAGGCCTCTTGTTTTTTGATCCTGTATCTCCCGGACCTTTGACTTTGGCGCTGGAAATGAGAAAATGGCAACCAAATATATTTGATACTGTTGTTTTAGTCAAAAACATGTCGCGCTGGTCAAGTTTTATAAGACCTTAAAGTTGAAGTAACTTGTTTTTTTTTTACTTATTAAACTATGAATAAATTTATCAAGAAATTAATATATATGTATATACAATAATTACCCCATTAGGAGATAAACAACAATTAGCTGCATTTTCAATTCTGAACAGTTATCTAATCAGACAACTTCAAAAGTAACGTGGTCAACTGATAAGTTGGAAATATCTAGAATCCATTCTGAGAAGCCATGCAATATGAAAACTCGCACACATTTATTTAAATTGTTTTATTTATTCTAAAACCTATTTTGTTTTTATTTATCATCTGGTTATCTTTGTTGTTTTATGGTTCTTGTTTCGGAACGGGTAAATTACAATGTAAATTATTTATTTCACATGTTTAACATATTGTTTGGGTTTTTTTTTTATTTTTTAAGGAGTTTGATTTGTTTGGTTTTTGTTTGCCCTCACAACATTTCGGCGCCGTCTCTTTCTGAATTCTGCCTATCGCTTTCGCGCCATAAAGGTAATAAAAGATGGTTTAACAAGGTTTTTTGTTATTACAGCTAATTGTAAAATTATAAATTATAAACTTAAAGCAGTTTGTTACCAATTTGATAGCTTGTAACATACATCTCATACATACGCATTTATTATTTGTTTGTCTCTGCTTTTTGTTTATTTTATATTGTTTGTTGGTTCGGAGGAGATAGCTGGTTGTCTAAATAAATGCGTACGTTTAGGAAGCAACTTAAAATGTACGGTGACAGTTTCATGTTGTAGTTTTGGATGTGTGTGTTGTTCGGTGTATTGAGTGAATAAATGTATAATCATTGTGGAATATTTTAACGCCGCCTATATAACTCTGTCAGTGGGGAAAAGTTTGGCGACGGACAACGGACGACGAACAGTGGCACACTGGTAACATAATGGATTAAAGAGGAAAAGCCATTCCATAGGATCCCAGATCCATGCTGGCCGCCTTTTCGGTATGCAAGGCATTTCTTATACACACAAGCGACAGATCATCATAAAAAACGTTTGTTAGCAGATTTATATATCTCTTTGTTGTTGTTTTTGTTGTTGTTGTTAGCGGATGATGTGAAAAAGTTACAATGGATGTGTGTGCTTGGGGTCTGAGGCTAAAGTGGGTGGTTCGGCTGCCCTCGATCCGGCCTAGCCGATCATCAGCCCACAGCCGAGTCTGAAGTTGTTCTTGACGTGGTTCATGCGTCCGCTCAGCGCTAGCGTAAATGGCAATGGGGTTAGACGCTTCTCTAAAACACCGGAGATGTGCCAGTTGGAATCAATTCCGCCTAAAAGAAGGAGAACAATTGAGTAATGCGTTAGGTAGTTAAGCTAAAGGGTCTCATTCGGGTTTCCATTTCAAAATACACAAACCTTTAAATTATACTTAATTATACAGAAATCCAAAATCCCTTTCTAAGAAACCCCAATGACAACCCTTAGCCATCGACCAAAGGATATTTGCTCACCTCGGAAGACCAGATCTGCCTTGGGCAAATCAATCTGGTAGGCCAGCGTGGCCACCGACTCCTGCATTCGCAGGCTGGTCTCAACCTCGACACCGATCTGCAGCTGGTCGCTGGCCTTCTGGTAGTAGCACACGTGCAGGCCACTCTGGCCCAGGGTCCCCGACCACACCGAATTGCCGGACGTATAGCGGCCGACGGCGGACACAATGGCTATCTGACGGCCGGGGACGTTCGGACCGAACTGGTAGGCCAGCTCGGCGCCCAGGGCGAGGGCTGGAGTGACTGACTGCAGATACTGGCCAACGACCACGCCGGAGTTGGTGAATATACTGGGATTGGCCACCGTCAGCGAGGCGGTGTAATCACTGCCGCGATAATCGGTTGTCAGCTGTGAGGCCACCATCTTGGAGTCCTGGATCTGTGGGTTAGTAGAACAGAAATCTTTAGTAACACTGAATGTAAAGTTAATTCTACTATCAAAATATTACAAAAGAACATTGAATATAAAGAAACTATGCACTTATTTGGAAGTTTCTGCGAAATATTATTTTAACTAAGGACTCATGTTAAATGGAATCACCTATTCGTTGAGTTCTTATCCTTAATTTATAACCTTCCGATTGAAATCCCCGCCAAAACTCACCTGCGAGGCGAACTTGCAGCGCAGACGCGCGGAGAACTGGTGGATGACATTGGCATTGAGGTTGCCCGACGGATCGATGTCTCCCAGAAGGACAGGGAACGCCTCCGTGGGGCTGTATTGCTTGGTGCCCACGTAGGTGGCCCCGAAGCGATAGCCACTGGGCACCACATTGCTCATGTTGATGGTGTGCGACACCTGGAAGTGGTTGCTCAGCCCTTTGTTCAGCATGATTTTGGCGCCCTCGAAGGTGATGGCCTGGATATCTGAAGCGGCGAAATATGCACTGGTTGGTTATACATAATATATACACATACATAATATACTGTCCCCCAACCCCCCCTCTCGATGCTCCGTCTCGCTCTCGCATGTTGTAGGTTATGTCATCAGAGGTGCGGAGGGCATTTCGATTTCTACGGCCACTTTTTCACCGGACCCGCTTTTTCTGACTGAAGTCCACGTACCTTTACACTTTTTGTGCAGCTCCTCGACGGTGCCGGGGTTCTCCAGTGGCGCATCCTTGTCGGCGAAGGATGAAGAGCCTACGGCGGACGAAGACGAACCGGACGGCGAGCCGGAATCGGAGGGCAGGACAGCCGGTTCCGGGAGGCCGAGGCCCAGATTTGAGGCGCCACCGCCTGGGGCGCCGGATGAAGCCGCTAGCACGTTGCCCATTTTCAAAAATCCCGATGTAATCTATGTAATTTCAAGCTGCACGCGCTAATCGTGCGTTCTTGTGAGTTACGGCAAAAAAAACAGCGTGACCAGATGGGCCGTTGATAAAAAGCTTCGATTATTGTCGCGCCTTGGGTGTTGCCAGACTGTCGGGACTTTAAATATTTATGCGGAATTTTTAAAAGCTATTGTTGCACACTCACAAAAGCGTAAGAAAATAAAGTTAGAGAACGGATTTGTGCAAAATAATAACTTACAAAGATTTTTAGGCACGACTACATAGGTGTAGAAAAATAAAGTTATCAAATAACGAAATCGAAGGTTTTGACATTTGTTTCGAGAGTGCTGCGTTTAAATAAATTAAATTTTATAAACTATAGCGCACAGGGAAACACAAAGTATTATTAGTAAGTTTTATCAGCTATACTATTTAAAAAGTGCACCCTATCATCGGGTTTTGTAATTAGGCCAAAATGTAATTAAATTATCTCGACCGATTAGATTTGGCCACAACGAAGTCCATTTTAACCTGCCCTTGATTAACCAATGCCAAGCCACTTGTATTAATAAAAACGTTTATATTTCAAGTTTCAAGTATATGTATAGTTTTTCCGTTCGTATTTGTGTAAGTGGAGTTATATGTTGTATGAGTTAGGAGCACAGAAACTCGGCTACGTATTTCTGGTGTGACTCGTTACCAATTAAAAGGAAAATAAACTAATTCTGGAAAGAAGGGGCCAAATTCAATCTTTGCTAATTCCCGTCAGTCACCTAATTAAACGTTAACTTAAGAGCAAAACTAAAAGTAACTACAAAAAAACAAGTTGTACATATACACGTAACTGTTTTGGTGTTTCAGCTAAACTAGTTGATTAAACAAGATTAAAAGAGTCAACAAAGAGGGGTTCGTTTTTGGGAGGGGATGGGGACGTACGATACAAGTTAATGTAAACAAACATTTTTGAAAGCGATGGATGTGACAGTGGCGGGGGTAATCAACAACAGGATGACTTTTCCGGCTCGGCCATCACGAGATTGAAGTCCAGGCTATTAGGCCGCGAGAAACCGGACTTGATGCCATCCCAGCCGTCCTCGGCCTTGTATTCGCCGGATCGAATGCGGGCGTATACCTCCTGGGTGACCATGCGAAAGGCTTCCTCCACATTGGCCCCGGATCGAGCCGATGTCTCAACGAAATGCAGACCATGTTGCTTGGCAAACTTTTGCGCCTCCTCGGTGGTCACCTCGCGATGTCCGCCGGAGTTGATGAGGTCCAGCTTGCAGCCGACCAACGCGAAAACGGGGCGGTGGGGCTCAATGTGACGCTGTGCCTCCATCATCCACAGCGGTATGTGCTCGAAGCTGGCGTGGTTCGATATGTCGTACACCAGCAGCACACCCACCGAGTTGCGGTAGTAGGACTTCGTGATTGAACGGAAGCGCTCCTGCCCGGCGGTGTCCCAAAGCTGAAGCTTTATCTGTGTACCGTCCTTCATCTCGATGAGGCGGGCGAAGAAGTCGACGCCGACTGTGGGATCGGAGAGCTGCAAATACAAAGAAAGTGGATTAGTAAGTATAACATAATAAGTATAGAATCCGAAGCAATTAGTAAGCAGTTGTGTCACAACAATAAATATTATAATATTATGTTTTTAGTTATCTGTTCTTTATCTCATTTATATTTGAAATACCCGCCCTAATTTTGCGCAGCCCTGGTTTTTGTCCAGCCTTGGGTGTTATTGTTGTTGCCTGCTTTATCAGGCGAACACACAACACACACACCAACAGCTTACACACATTGACAAGGTGACTAAGGCAGCATCTCGAAAATATACTCCCTTTGTCTATTTTTTTGCTGCTTGCAATCACTTAATTATGTAATAAACGCATTAACTGCATCATACGGAGATCGCACAGTGGGCCACGCACAGTGAACCACCTGCACAGTGGTCACAAGTCGAACCAAATACGCACCTCGGCAAATTTGCCGTCTGTGAAGAACTTGAGAAGAGAACTCTTTCCCACGGTGCTGTCGCCGATTAAAATCAGTCGAAATTGATATTCGAAAATGGGCTCCACCATCGCGTAGCCGTCCTTTTGCGAATTCACGGATTTGTTGGGCGGCTGGGAATCCGCAATATTTTGACGTCCCTTTCGCAAAAGTTTGAGACGCAAATCGCCCTTCGCCTTTTGTTGCTTTTTTTTTTTAAAACACTTATCCTGATACCAAACGAAGATCTGTGCAGTTTCCTCGGTTCCTGTCTTCGTTCGTTATTCCCGGCCGTCTCTGGTGGTTGATAAATTATAAATATTCAAGAATTCAGCTGCCACTGAATTTTGTTTTGTTTTGGGTTTTTTTTCTAATGCGCAAAGCTGCGCCTGTGTGCGTGCGCTTGTGTGTGTGATAAAGGCGATGTTGCCGGATGGCGCAAACTATCGATAGGCCGAAAATAAATAACCATGATCAAAAATAGCTAAAACAGTCGTAGAACGAGATGCTTATATCATCTTAAACTAAAAACAGTTTTAGGAACATTTTTTAAAAACCAACTTATAACAATCTTGCATGAAGAGAAGTCAAAAAAGACTACACTTTGCTTATAAACTGCATGGATTACAAATATTAGTTTTGGGTCACCTTAGTTTCGGTACCCGGCTAATGGGACTCACTTCGCTGATCTGGCAACGCTACCCAACTGTCACCATGACAGCTGTTCGATTGTAGATATATTTGTACGCATTGTATTTTCCTTTTACGTTTGTTTTCCGTGGAAATTGTCTGTAATTCGCACAGCACACAAATGTACAAAAAATCCGCCGGCCTCTCGAAAGCAGAAACGAAAACGAAAAGCTTTTTATTCGCCGCTGAAAGTCGGAGTCCGTAAATCAGCCGGTTACGGGATACGGAATCCACATCGTTCTCCTCCGTTTTTTCTCCTTCTCCCCCGATTCGGTTACGGAACCAATATTATTACCGTTAATTATAGCCACAGCAGGTCGAAAATATATAGAAATCGCTATATAGATGTTCAAGTTCGTGCTGAACGACGCCGCCAACTACGTGCGCTCCAATGTGCGGGAGTTCAGTTTAAATGCACTGCGATTGCTGCCGCAACTGCCGCAATTGAGTCCATACGATGTAAGAACTCGAATTGCAAGTACTTTAAAGAATGTTTTTTTGGGATTAGCCAATCTTACTGCCAAACCCAGGGCCCAACCTTCCAAAATATGGAATTGTTTATGCCCAAATAAAGCAGCTTTATAAAATAACCCCTGCATCGATTTAATCGATAGTGTACTAAAGATAGTATCTCACAACGATGCTAGATCTGAGACTCGTAAAATATGAATTAGGAATATGTATATTTTAAAATTATAATATGAAACAAAGCCTTAGTAAAAAATAAACAAGAAAAACAATTAATATCAATTATTGTTAAATTTTCACTTTTTGTGTATTTAATATCAAAACAAAAATATATTTTAGGAAAAAGGTAGAATGAAGTGATTAATTTCCGCCGAAGTACAAAGATCCTATTCTTATTTTTGACATATCCCACAGGTTAACCTTGTTTTGAGGGAGAACGAGTTCGTTTACAACTTTCCTGTGGACGGAGTCATCCGGAGCTATGAAACGAATCAGCTGGGATCGAATTCGCCCTGCGAGGACTCACGCACAGAAGCCAGTTTTCTGCACCGCAACGGCTTCATCTGCGGCATTTTCGATGGACATGCGGGGGCAGCTTGTGGCCAAGTGGTGTCCAAGCGATTGCTCCGCTACGTTTCAGCCGCCACATTGCCGCGCCAGGTGCTTCGGGAGCAGATGAAGCAGGGCTGCAGCAGCCAGTCGTTCCTTAAATGCCACAACGACAACGTGGACTTTGTCAGCGAGATTAAACCGATCTACGAAGCCAGTTTCCTCAAGTACATAAAGCAGTTGTCGGAGACACCTCAGCGGGATGTTGCCAGTGAACTGGAGAACGCTTTTCTCCAGCTGGACGAGGGTCTCTCCCAGGAGGCGCTGGCCAGCAACGATGTGCGCACCATGAGCGTCGCACTTTCCGGTGGGTGATGTACCCAGATAATAAGAATACCCTTTAAACGATTGTAAACAACGCAGCAACGTTAAATGATTCTGTATAGCTTTAACAATATTGTTTTGTATTTTATGTATCCATATCTATCTGCCATTTCAAAAACAACAATTTCGAAGGTATCTTTTTTGACGGGCTGCACCGTTCGCATATCTATCTATTTTAAATACGTATTAACACGACAAATAAATTTAAACACACTTATATTCGTATGTAGTATAAAAACAAAAGCATTTCGACTCGCGGATTCTAAAGTTTCATAGCACGGATTTTAACACAATACTTTTGTTTATTTTCCAGGAGCCGTTGCCTGTGTGGTGCACCTGGAGGGCCTGCAGCTGCACGTGGCCAGCACGGGTGACTGCGGCGCCGTGTTGGGCACCCTCGATCCGCAGACGCAGCAGTGGCATCCAAAAAAACTCAACACCGAGCATAATGCGGACAACATGTCCGAGGTGCGTCGCATCCTGGCCGAGCATCCGAAGCAGGAACGCGAAACGGTGATCCGCAATGGCCGGCTGCTGAGTCAACTGGCGCCGTTGCGTGCCTTTGGGGACTTTCGATACAAGTGGTCCCTGGACATAATGCAGCAGAAGGTGCTGCCCATGTTCGGCGAGCAGGCAATGGCGCCGAATTACTACACGCCTCCGTACCTAACCGCACGCCCCGATGTCCAGCACCATGAACTGGGGCCCAACGACAAGTTTCTAGTCATCGCCAGCGACGGCCTGTGGGATTTCCTTTCGCCCAGCGAGGTGGTCAGCCTGGTGGGGGAGCACATCAACTCCAAGAAGATCCTCGAACCGATGCGTCTGCCCGAGGGCGATATAACGCTGCAGGAAATCTCCGACCAGCTAGCCGAACGGAAGTGAGTGTGGACTCTATATTCAATCTGATATCTATTGATTGTGGTTTTTGTTTTTTAGAGCTGGTCTAACCCGCAAACCGGTGGACCAGAATGCCGCCACGCATCTCATCCGGCACGCCTTGGGGGCCACCGACTATGGGATTGAGCACTCGAAGATCTCGTACTACCTGACGCTGCCCAAGGACGTGGTGCGTCTGTACCGCGACGACATCACCATCACCGTGATCTACTTCAACTCAGAGCACGTCGCCCAGCTGCACAGCGAGGCGGATCAATCGACGGGGATCACTGCGCCGGCAGCGTGATCTTCGTGCGAAAAAGTGTACATTTAACGAGCTAACCTTCAGCCTAACTAGCCTAAGTGTTGCGTTTAAGTTTGTTTAATCCGCCATCGGACCTCGGACGACTGCCGCGCCAAATAAATCCCACGCGGAAAGCGAAAAAAACCACATATGCAAATTGACTTGTAAATGGGTGAGGCTGGGATCGACCTTAGTTGCAGTTAAAATAAAAGCTTTGACCTATAAAATTCCATAAACGGGCAACAAGGAGTTTCTTCATTTATTTATTTTCAAATAATTCGTGATATTGTAAAGCAATCTATCAAGTACTTATCTTAATTTCGTGGTTTAAAATTATCCAAACAATTTGTAATTTACACTTTAAAACTTATGTTAATTGATGTTAGGCCAATTTTCCGTATATAAGATTTACAATTTGGGTGTTTTTTTTTTTCACCAGCTTATTTTATTACTGCGAACCGAATTAACCGATTTAACAAATTCCCAAATTGTACAATATCTTGCGTTGAACCCCAAGCATCTTGTATCATTTCTGAGAATCGATTTATTTTACAATTATGTATAAATTCAATTACAATTGTTTATAACGCTGGGTTACATTATATATATGTATGTAGGGGCGATTGGCTGGTGCTTAGGGCCGAGGGACTCGGGGTTCCGGATTTTTGTGAGTCGAGGATAAAGCTATCTAAAGAACACGGGAGCCGCGAACTTGCAAACTGGTAAACGGTACGGGTCCTAATCCTATACATGGAAAAACTAAGCAACTACTCAGGGATTGGAGCTCTGTGTTGTGGGGAGGGGATGGGGATAAGGTTTAGGATCTGAATTAATCCTTGCCATCCTGCTCGGCCGCCTCCTGCCGACTGACGCAGTTGAGGAACTCCATCTGAATGTGCGTGATCTGCGTTTTGCTGAAGCACTGCATCTTCTTCTTCAGGAAGTCGAAGAACAGGTCGAGCTCATCACGCTTGGCCAGCGCCTGGGCCACTTGATGCTGCTGATGCAGCTCCTCCTCCTTGACGAGAATGCTCGAGCTGCTGGCCGCCGCACTGACGGCCAACGGCTGCCCAGATCCACCGCAACTGAGGGCGGGCAGCTGAAGGATCGTGGCCGTCGGTGTGGACGTGAAGGATGTGGTGTTGCATAGCGCCGCTGCCGGTGTGGTTGTCACTGTAGCGGCGTTCAGCGAAATCGCCGGCGTGCTGGAAATCGTTACACTGGTGCTCGTTGCCTCGGTGACATCCACCAGCGAAATGTGCTGTGTGGACGCCGAGGAATCGTGGCGATTGGATGGACCGCCTGCCGACGGCGCTGAAGACGCCGCTGTGGTCGTGACCAGCGTGAGATTCTTGAGCTTGCCGTCGCCCACCAAAGCGCCGCCGGCGAGAACACTGTTCGAGGCGTTACCCGACGCTCCGCTGCTCGCGAACTGGTGTTGGCTGGACAGCCGCACAGGTTGCGGCTCAATGTCCGATATGCAAAAGTCATGGGCATCGATGTAGTGGAAGCCCTTGCCATGTGTAACATCGCTGCTCCCGTCGACGGCATCGCTCACGCCCATTTCGCAGTCGACGTGGGCACCGCTTGCTTCCTCGTACAGGCACACCTCCTCGTAGTCCACCTCGGCGCCAGTGGCTCCGTCCTCTTCCAGTTCGTGCTTCACAATATCCACCTGGCCATCGTGGTCGACCACATCGTCGTCGTCGTCGACATCGTCGACCACATCATCGTCGTGCGCAATCTGGGAGAGCTCAATGCTCGAGATGCTGCCATCGTGCTGCGACTGATGGTGATGATGATGGTGGTGCGGCTGGTGGTGATGATGCTGCTGCTGCTGGTGGTGATGGCCGTGATGATGGTGGTGATGATGCGGCGAAACCGTGTCGTCCGACACGCCCTCCTCGTAGGCGGTCAGGATGAAGGTCTCCGCCTCATCGCTGACCAGTGTGATCTGCGAGGCGCCGTGATGCGAGGACAAGGTGGCCGTGTCGTGATCCGACTGCCCGTCATCGTCCACCACCTCGTCGTCGTCGTCGTCCACCACTTGCTGTTTCAGATGCAGCATCGATCCGATTGGCAAGCTGGTGCTATTGGTGCTACCACCACCGCCTCCTCCGCCGCTCGTCTCATAACCGCTCTGCGTATTCCGGTGCGACTTCAACTTGGGCTGATAAACCGTCGACAGGAAGTCCAGCTCCTTGGCGTACCGCCACTTGGACAGACGGCCCTCGATGTATTTGGGCGTGCGCAGGCGGTACTGGTGGAACGTGTCCCGCAGGTTCTTCCACTTGCGACGCACCTCTTGCACCGTGTACTTGTCTGCCAGGACAACAAAAAAGGAGAATTAGAAAATATTTTACTTAAAATGATTCAAAAAGAATTTGTAAATGTATTTATAAACAGATGCTAACTCCGTAAGATCATTTTAAAGGAGTTAAAGGACCTGGCTAAACCTGATCAGCATCCGACACTCACTTCCAATTTGCTGGGCGACCTCCTGCCAGCCGTTGAGGACATCGGACCGGCGTCGCTGGTTCGGCTGCAGCTTGTAGTTGTAGAGGGCCGGATTCTGGCGCACCAGATTGATTAGCGTCAGGATATCGTCTGTGGGCGCGTTATCCTTGTGGTAGCGCTTGCGCTCTGACGTCGACGAAGACATGTTGCTTCTGCTGGGGAATTCACTGCTGCTTTGTTAATGGATCCTGGTTCGGATCTAGATATTGATCCCTATCCTTTTAACCGATTCCTTTAGTTCACATTTAGGTGTTTTGTTTTTGTTTATTCCAGAAAAAGAGCGACTTTCGTTGGTTCTCGTCGAGATGCACGCACACACCCACACTTCAACGGGGGTGTATAGGTGTAGAAACAAGCACGCACACACTCTCGCACACTCGATGAAAAGGATAGCGAGTGTATTTGTCAGGATCTCCCTTTAGCGATCTTCGGTATGCAATCTCCTTTAGAATCGGAGGTGTTCCTCCACGGAAACTAACTAAATGTGTGCGGATTTTCTCTGCACTTGATGCTCTCGCCTTGCTTTTTTGCTTTGCTTTTTTGCTTTGGCGTTGCTTATTTCGCGCTAGAGATGGCACATCGCACAATTGGCATTTGTATGAACTGTCACAGTCACAAATCACGGGTCAATAGATCGCGAGTCCTTTGAATCAATAGACACAAATTCGGTTGGGGATTGTATATTGACATCCTTTAAGCGTAAAATAATTTATGCTTTTAAAATAACTTTGTTTTGTTTTATGCCTGATTTATTTGACTTCTTATCAAGTTTTAAAGGGTGATAGCGATGGAAGTCTTGCCGATGATTTTTCAAAACAAAGAAATCACTGTATTTAAACATTGAATATTTGAGCTAATTTAATTATATTTGACTTTAAAAAATATTTCAGCTTAGAAACAATTAATTTAATCTATATAATACAGTATAGTTAGTATATAATAATTCGTAGCATATTTTCAATAAGGCAAATAACGTAACACTGCTGGACGGTTGCTCAGTGGACAGTCGATAACAACCATCGATAGCACCGCGCACATGCAAGCCTGAGTTTATTTTTTTCGCCTCCTCCAAAAAAAAAACAATTGTAAATTAGCCGCAAAAAGCAGAGGAATTGTGTATGATAATGAGCACTCCGGCGAAAAATAACAACGGCACTGGCCTGGAGGACGTAAATATACCGGGCCAGGCTTACTTGCGCGAGGCTCTGACGTCCTGCACGGATCCCCTGAAGGCCATCGAGAGTTTTCAGGTTTGTTTACGTTGCAACTAAAATGGGCGCGAAAAGTTCGGTTGTTTTATTTATTATTGCGTCGATTTCATATAGCTTGAGAATGGTGTTTTGCTGCCTTCATTACGACCCATGTTGCCTTTACTCGACTTGCATGGAGTCCGCCGCTTGGATTTCCATACATCCCTTATGGAGGAACTACGGGACAAGTTGATTGCCCACATCAACGAAATGGGCCAAAAGGAGCCGCGCGAGCGGGACAAGAAACTCAAGGAACTGCTCGTTAAAAGCTTCCCCGTCGTTCGGGTAAAATCCCTGCGTCCCGTGGTCATGGCGATACTCAGGAACACCCAGCACATCGATGACAAATACCTCAAAATCCTCGTCCGGGATCGTGAACTCTATGCAGATACAGATACAGAAGTCAAGCGTCAGATTTGGCGAGATAACCAATCATTGTTTGGCGACGAGGTGTCCCCTCTGCTCTCCCAATACATTCGCGAAAAGGAGCACATCCTTTTCGACCACACCAACCTGAATAATCTGTTCTTCCAGCCAACGCCCAAAGTGCGAAGGCAAGGAGAGGTGGTCCAAAAGTTGGCCAACATGATTGGAACCAGTGTCAAGCTGTACGATATGGTGCTGCAGTTCCTGCGCACTCTTTTTCTCCGCACCCGCAATGTCCACTATTGCACCTTACGTGCGGAGCTGCTGATGGCCTTACACGATCTCGAGGTGCAGGAAATCATCTCCATAGATCCCTGTCACAAGTTCACCTGGTGTCTGGACGCCTGCATAAGAGAGAAAAATGTAGATATCAAGCGTTCCAGGGAGCTGCAGGGATTCCTGGACAACATTAAACGCGGGCAGGAGCAAGTTTTGGGTGATCTCTCCATGACACTCTGCGATCCGTATGCCATCAACTTTCTGGCCACCTCGGCCATCAAGATACTGCATCATCTGATTAACAACGAAGGCATGCCGCGTGATAATCAGATACTCATCCTTTTGCTTAGGATGCTGGCCTTGGGCTTGAGTGCCTGGGTGATGATTGATTCGCAGGACTTTAAGGAGCCGAAACTGGACTGCCAGGTGGTCACCAAGTTTCTACCCGCTCTCATGTCGCTGATGGTGGACGATCAGTGCCGCAGTTTGCACGCCAAGCTGCCGCCAGATGAGCGAGAGTCCGCTCTGACCACAATCGAGCATTCTGGGCCGGCACCGGATGCCGTGGAGGCGTACATCCAGGAGAGTTCGGTGGCCAGCATACTGGCCATGTACTATACGCTGCACACGGCACGGCTGAAGGATCGTGTTGGTGTACTCCGCGTCCTGGCTATTTTGTCCGCTTGTAAGGACGACCGGGCGTACGAGGATCCTTTCCTGCACTCACTGGTGAGTACTTTTTGCAAATGCGTGAAGAAAAGCCCACTTAAATCATTTGTTATACCTTTACAGATTGCTTTGCTCATCCCCATGAGCGAGGAGTTCTCTACCGAGGACTTCTGCACTACGCTCTTCGATGAGTTCATATTTGCTGGACTGACGCGCGAGAATGTTACCTCGCGGCACATGCTGAAACTGTTGTGGTATGTGCACAACAAACTGCCTTCGGGTCGTCTGGCCACCTTGATGAAGGCCATGCAACCGACGACGGCCCACAATGAGCACATCCACAAGCTGTACGAAACGCTGCAGGAGAGGATTGGCACTGGGGCGGCGGAGACACCGGTCATCGAGGCGCCGCCCATGGAATTCGATTCGCCGCTGAAGAGTGTGCCAACGCCAGGGCCCCATTATAATGTCCAATAGCTAGAGGCACCGGCAGTCGCAACGCCAGCGGCTGTCGTCGGATGATGATTGTTGTTAATGACGACCGGAGGAGGCCCGAGATTTGGGCGCCTTGGCACTTCTAAGCAGCCGGCGGGATGGCAATCCCAATTTAGCACACATGCGCAAATCATAATTATACTGTTTAGATTAGGCAGAAAGTTCTGCGACCGAGCAATCGGATATAGTTTACATATTTACAAATGTATCGCTTTGTTAGCAGGCAATCAATTTGTTGTCGCTGGCTATTATATATTATATATTACTGTTACGCTAGTGTAACGATCGATTCTAGTACACAATATAGAGTACAAATCTAAAGCTGTGTGTTCACCTTTGGTTTCAGGTATTTATTTCGTAGGAAACTGAAATGAAAAGCCTGGCAGCTGATGTTTAATCAGTTCAATTTTCACTCAACTTTAATGCTTTACAAAATAACTGATGGTTTTTCGTTTCAGGCAGAAAGAATGCAAAGTTTCTAAAATAATTCGGTACAAATGTTTTATATTTAACGCTTATAGCTTAGGGAAAAGACCAAATTAAAAAGAGCTATTAGGGATAGGAGTCTTTCGTCTCATGTCTGATCTGTTTCAGCGACTGTGGAACTGGCAACTGGAGCTACTGCCGCTGCCGAAGCGGTTGGAGATGTGGAGGCGGCGCCACCGGACGTGGACACGGGCGAAACGCCCACGGGAAACGTGTCCAACGGAGGTAGTGAGGATGAGGGCGACAGCAGCTCATCTAAACAGACGGTGGGCGAGTCTATGGTTTGGATCTCTGGCGAGAGACTAGGAGCAGGCGGTGGCACTGACAGCGATGACGAGGAGGACGAGTTAGATGAGGAGGATCCGGAGCCGGAGGAAGACGATCCGGAGGAGGAAACGGAGCTGCTAGTGGTGGTGGTTGTCGCAGTGCCCGAACCTGTTGTCACCGCCGTCGGTGATCCCCTTTCTTTGTCTCTTTCTCCAACAATTGCTGTGTTTTCTCCTTTTTCGGCTGCATCTTCTCCGGCTGCCTCATCTGCAGCCTGTCCTGCGCTTGGGGACGAACCTGCTGACGAGGAGGCAGCTTTCGGCTGTGGTGGCGCGGGTGTGGCAAATATATCCTTTTGCCGCTCAGACTTGCACTCCTTTAGCAGTTCTACGTACTCCGAGTGCAGGCGCGTCCATTCGGAATGTGGCTTCAGCGTATCCAGAACGCACTGCATCAGTTCCAACTTTGGCACAAACTAGAGCGGGATGGAGGCATATGTTATAAATCAAAGGACCCTTTACAGATTGAATCCTCTCACCTGTGAAATTCCCGGCTCCGGAATGCTAAGCAAATCGTCAAGGAACACACGCATTCTTTTCTCGTTCCCAAAGCTGGCCAGCTGGAAGGTGAGCATCTTGTGCCAGTGCTGCAGTTCATCCAAGGATTGGAGGGCCTCGCATAGTTTGATCTGATTCTCAATGAACCTGATTTTGGCGCTCTGCTGCCAGGCCTCCGAATGTCTCCTATAATCCAGAGATTTACCAAAATTAGTAGCTGTTTAAGTAGATATTAGGTTTATCTATAACTTACAACTCCATGCCGCCAGTGAAACAGAAGTAATTCTGACTGCTGGCCTGCATACTGAGCAGGGGGAACTTCTCCTGCATTTGGTCCATGTCCCTGGGCAGAGTTCCCCGGATGCCGTGGTACATGATCGCATCCTTGGTGGCCAGCACTAGCCACGATTGCAGGCTCGTCGAGTATGAGTACGAGTTGCCGCTGGGAAAGCCAATCAACGGCATTCCCTGATCCGTCACGGAAAACTGCACAGCTGTTCCGTGTTTATTCAGCAGCTCCAAGCATCCGGCCGCCAAGCTGATGACCTTTTTGCCAATGTCCCAAATCCGCAACAATCCACACTCGGTTAGCACGCCCACTAAACTGTTGTCCGGACTCTAAAACGATATGCAATAAGGTAAATTGTTTGATTTTCTGTTTTTAGGAAAAAAATGGAAAAAGAAATGTTTTTTTATCCGGACTCACAAAGGCGCAATGCACGGCGGAACTGGTCAGCGAGATGGCCGGAAAGACTGGGCAGCCGGTCTCCATGGAAATGAGTCGCATGCTCCCATCCAGGGAGCACAGCATGGCATACTTTCCACACAGATTCAGGTTGACCACCGGCGATCCAACGTAAAACTCCCAAAGCATTTCCTTTGAATCCGAAGCGGTGACCTTCGCGAGCATCCCATGATTCGTTTTCAGATGACCGTTCTGCACATGAAGACGATAGTCCAAAGCGGCCTTGACAAACTCACTCTTTCCGGTGGCAGTGACATTGAGATTGCTGGGTCCACTGGTGCTGCTCTGGTGCTCCTCGAGTCGTGGAGACCGTGGCAGCTCGCTGGTCTGGCCAGGATCGAAGGGCTGTGACTGCCGGCGCTGGCTGGCGGGATTCGTTTTCAGCCTGGAATCAAGACGACCCAAGTCCGTTTTGCTCACCAATGGTTCCAGTGGCATTAGGGGCGTGGCAGCGCTCTCCGTGGGCGCAGCACACGAAACCGCTCCACTGGCTGCCGAGCAGGAACTGAGGGCTGTGGCCGCCGACCCACTGCTGGAAACTATACTGGTGGTCAGGGAGGTGGGTCCCTCTTCATGCAAGGGTATAAACATCGGCGTGATTCTCCGCTTGCCGTCCTTGGTCCTCGTTTCCGTCTGTTTGCTAATGGGTCGCTGGTTGCCCTCGTTGTTGTTCAGTGGGAACTTCACGGACTTGTCTCCTTGGGGCAGTAGCAATCGCTTCGGATTCTCCAGGAGTGCACTGTGCTTGCCCAGCCCATTGCCAACCGTACCGTACATTTTCTGCATGATGTTGCTCTGCTCCGCATGGGAGATGGGCTTGCCGAGCTCCTCCTCGGTGAATTTCAGGCAGGCAACGGTGCCGTCGCCGCTGCAGGCCATCAGCAGACATTCCTGTGGTCCCCAGGAAAGATCGAGAATACTGTCGTTGAACAACTCGTGGATGACGATCATCGGTCGCTGCAGGGCCGTCATCCAAACGGAGAGCGAGCGATCGCGCGATCCCACGGCCAGGCAGCAGTATTGCAGGGCCTTGCTGGGACTGCCTTCGTTCACTTGGCGCCTCAAGATGGAGTTGTGGAACCTCACGCACGTCACCGCCTTGCGATGCCCAACGAAATCCTTGTCGCACTTCCAGCCCTCCCGTTCGATGATCTGTGCGGTGGGTCCGCGGCCGTTCATGGCGTGTGCGGACACCAAATACTGGCCATCCGGCGACCAGGAGAGTCGCAAAATGTGCGTGGTGCCGCCGCACTCCTCGAACGGCTCGGTTATCGTGTGCGAGAGATTCCAGTCCATGGTGTTCCAGATCTTGATGCTGCGATCGTCCGACTGCGAGGCCAAGAAGCGACCCACCGGATCCCAGGACACGCCCTTCACCAGACCCGTGTGTCCTTTCAGCGTGGCCACCGCATGCGGAAACGCCTGGGCATCCCAAATGATAACCGTGTTGTCGATGCTACAGCTGGCCAGATAGACATCGTTGGGTGACCACGCCAGGTCCAGCACATCGCCATCGTGGCCGCGCAGTGTGTAAAAGCATTTCCAGGACTCGTGATTCTTCTGCATGCCACCGGAACCAAAGACTCCACTGGATCCCGCGCACTTGCGCCAGATCATGATAAGCTTGTCATCCGAGCCGGAGGCCAGGTTTTGGCCATTCTGTGACCACCGCACGCAGTTGACACAGGCCAAGTGCTGGTCCATTTGGCACAGCATCTTCGGCACCTCGGCATCGCATTCCGCCTTGTCGGAAAGCACCGGCAGCAGATTCCAGATGACAACGCGGCCGCAGTCGCTACCCTGGCCACCAGTCGCGAATTTCGTGCAATCCTGATGGATATCCACCGAGAATATCTGTTTGTCTGCCGGCAAAAACAATGGTTAATTTACACAGCAAATTGTATATATTGCCGGATTTTGCCGGCATTACGGTTTCCGGTTGCCCGCCACTCACCATCGTGATGCACCCAAGCCGGCTTGAGGAGCCGCATTTACGGTGGACTTATAATTAACTATACTTTGTGGGTAACTATGTTTAAATTAAGTTAAGTTTAATAAGTTTAACTAAATAAACAGCTTGCCGCAGTGTGGCCGCAGCTTATTGCTCTTGTAATACCAATTCCTGTCTCTCTAGTGTTGCATATGGCTTCACTGGTCACACTGCATGGGCGCCAAAATGAGTTATTTTTAAATTTGGGAAACTTGCTAAAATTGGTATGCAACATTTTTAAGGACCGAAAAACATTTAAGAAAATGCATTCCCCGTTAAAATTAAATAACTATTGGCCTTTTTATGGAGGTTTTACTGAAAAAAAGTGTCGGAAATGGGGCGAAAAAATTGGTAAGGGTACCCCTTACAAAATCTACAAAAAATGGCCAATTTTTTTCCGGCCAATTTTGAAAAACCTGGTATTCAACATTTTCAAGCAGTTCGAAAAACTATAGAAAATGCATACCTCCTTAAAATAAAATGATTTTTAGCTTTTTATGCAGGTTTTACTGTAAAAAATAAGCAATTTCTACAGCGGTTAAAAAATGACAGAAATTAGTGTTTTTTTTAAGGTTTTGTCGTTTAAATTCATAAAATTATTTCTTTAGATTAACACACCTCCTCCTTTCACCCCATAGGCCCCACTTTTACCACTTTTTTTGTACCACAACTCGGGGGGAGGAGTAAAACTAACGAAAGGAAACGAACAGCGAGGAAAGCGCCAACTAAAACACGAAAGTTTTCCTAAGCGCTTGGCTGCCATTGGTCTCCTTATTCTATGGGCGTGGTTGGGGAAAATGGAATGGGGGATGGGGATGGGGGAGGGATCAAGTAAATCAAAATAAGACAAATATTTTGAGAGGAAGAATCCCAAGTTTATCAAGCGATTTAGAAACGAAATTGCTTTTGCACAATTTCTCATTTGCTTAATTTGCATACAGGGAAATTGTCGTAAAATATGTTGTTTGCTTACTTGTTTGTTTGCCTCGCCAGAGTGGGGATGCTCTTCCCCCTCCACCGATTTCACCAAATGCAAATCACAAGCCGCAAATTGACTGACAATCCGAACTGTCTCAATAAAGTGAAAATCGAAATAAAAGCACTACGAGCCCACTTTACCTGGGACAATTTGCAATCCAACGCATCTGTCGCCGGCAACAACATGTGGCATCAATGATGTTCCTCTAAAGTTTCCCCTTTTCCCCAGATTCTTCACCATATTTTCCTCCGATTTTTCCCACCCCCCCAGATTTTCCGGCAGATTCCTCCGCATCATTCTCAATGCCACTTGACAATTGTCAACAAAGCGCACGTAAAGCGATTACAGTCTGCATGAGTGCATGGAAATGGAAGTGGAAATGGGTGTGGAAATGGGTGTGTGGAAACGGATCCTGCTCCTGGGATTCATCCTCCACGAGGACATCCATTGTGGCTCTCGGTATGGCTGACGGATATTTGGCAAATCCGACGCCAGCGGCACTTAAGCAGCTCAAGATTGTTCACATTGTCACGCATAAAAGCTGGATTCTGCAGGAAAGGCAGGTGGATTGCAATATATATATATTAATAGAAGCCTTCTAAGCTTTGAAATGTATTTATTTTATATTTTATTATAAATAAATATAATGTATGCTAATAATTGCAATAAATCGAAGTCAAAATAATCCTAAACTAATCAACTTAATTGATCAAAATCTTTCAAATCTTTTTGCAATAAATAAACCCCTCCCCAAGCAGGAAATAACATTTTTACTTAATTAATTCAAAACTTCACCAAAAAAGTTTCAAATATCCAACCCACTAATTCATTAGCCACAGCCCAAAGCAGTTTGTTATTTTTTTTTTTTGGGAAAAGGAAAAAAAAAAGAAATCTTGTTGAGCCTGAGAACAAAAATCAAACCCACAAAAAGCTCGCGAGCGTCTGCCTTGATTGTCCTTGATGGATGGATGGATGGATGGATGGATGGATGGATAGCGGGATGGCTGGATGGAATGGATGGATGATGGACGTTCCAGCAACCACAGAAACCACTCATAAACGAGAAATGGAGGGTGGTGCGGCGCTAAAAGCAAAGGACAATCAGCGGAGAGAGCGGCAAACATTTAACAAAAAGACAAGAAACAAAGTTTAAAATCTAAAAAATTGAAAGCAAATGCGAGTGGGTGTGGTGGGTGGTGGGTGGTGAGTGGTGGGTAAGGGGGAAGGGTTAGGGGAGGCTAAGAACGGTGGCACATTGCAATTTACATGCAAACAAACAAATAAGCCCAGCCAACCCAGCGAACAACCCACCACCACCCACCGCAGCCGCCCAACGTATGGCCTTCCCTTTCGCACCGCTTTGTTTGCTCACAACCACCCAACCACCTCAAACCTTCTGTCTATCTGTTTATCTGTCTATATGTGTGTTTGTGTGTGTGTGTGTGTGTGTGGGTTCGTTCAACATTTCAATCAACGCTCGAGTGAAATGTGAAAAAAATCATAATAAAAGCAAGGATAATATGGCAAGCGAGTGGTTCGGCGGTTGGGTGGTTGGGTGGTGCCGGCAAGCGGAAATGGATGCGCATCACAAAAGTGGCACAAATTGTGTGGCATGTGTGAGACGTCGTTGCATGCAGCTATAAAATAGATGAAGATATGAAGTTTCTTCAGATTTTCAAATTGCAAAAAAAGAGAGGTTTTAGAGACATATGCTATCCAATAATGTTTGATACATTTTTCTGGTATTCTATACTTCTTTTTATTAATTTTTTAATGTGAACCACAAAAGAATAATTTTTTTTTTTTGTTTGAACCCTTTTATCTAATAAAAGGTTTTCAAGCCAGGGACTTCTCTGATCGGAAAGGTAAATCTAGCCGAAATGTTACTCCTTTTGGCCACCGGAACTGCCAAACTTTAGAACGGGGATTCCCCCGACTGCAACAGCCGCTGTAACACGCTGTAAATCCAGATCTCCTGCCCCAAATGGATTGCCATAACAACCGTTAACCGAGATACATTTTAAATCTCGAGCAGAGAGTCGAGTCCAACCAAAAATGGTAGAAAAAAAATGGGAAGGTGGAAGGGAAATGCGACGACCAGAACCAAATCCAAAGTGTAAACATTCACAGCCTCCGTTTGGCGAAATGGCAGAAATGGTTTGGTGAGGGTCTTTGCTCGGTGGTTCGCTGGTTCGGTGGTTCGGTGGGTGAGGGAGCACTAGACAATGCCGAATGCCCCACCCAAACCCCCCAAACCACCCACAAACTGGCCAGCAACAGCTTCCTTCCGTGCTGACGTTTGATGTGCAGCCATGGGAGCTTTTTATATTTTTTTTGCAAAAGACTGCGAGTGGGTGGCAAACACGCAGCGAACGTGTGGCAACAACAGCCAACAACTACTGCGAAAAATGCGGTATTTATTTCAAACAAGCTCAACACGCAGCAGTCGAAAAAAAAGAGAAAATCAGCTCAGAATAAAAAGGAACACGAGTTTTCCAAAGCTATGGCTGTGGACTCGAATGCCTAAAGCCTGCGGCAAATTGCACAACTACTCAGCGGAAAAACTTTAAATATAATAAATAAATAAGTTATACACTTGATAAATTATTAGAGAAAAAGATACAAACTGTACAACCCAAATAAATGATTTGGAATTCAACAAGATTTTGTTCTGTAAAACCTAAATAAATGATTTGAGTAGAAAAGTAAATATAAAGTTTTAATTTGGAATTCTAGAAGATTTTGTTTCAGTGATTTCGGCACACAGACATGCGATGCAATTGCTTGGCAACAGCTTGTGGGGAGGTGTCGCTAATGAAGTCGCAAACAGTCGGTGCCAGCTAAAAAAAATTGAGCAAAGAAAGCAACGCAACGCAACGTAACGTTCTACATATCCAACGGCTTCTGCATGCCTTCATTGTAATAGAAATTATAAGCTTATCCTACTCCCACCAACGAACCCATCCAACCATCCAACCATCCACCCAATCCACCCAAGTTGGGCTGTCGTTTTAGCAACACGTTGCCCATAGCCAAGGACTGCATCTATTGTTCCAATGGTAATTGAAAACGGGCAACGTTGCTAGCAATATGCAAAAAAGATCCAAAAATATATATACATTTATATACCACATACGAATCTAGAGCGGTTTATGTTATCTTTTACAAAAAATAACAAGGTTGAAACACTCATTCGTATTTAATAAATAACAGCGAGTTTACGTGGTTCCCACGTTGGGAGCCAATTAATAAAAAGAGACTATAAATTTCAATTTTCCAGGACATTTGCTAACTGTTTATTTTAGTTTCCGATTCTTCCGCGATCTCACTCAGCTTAATATGAGGGAAGAGTGACACAAGCGATCAAACCATGGACCAATGAGCTTCCGTCTCGCTCTGCTTTTTGGTCCTATTTGCAAAACTTGCTACCTTTCTCCGAGGGTGGTTTCCATCAACGCTTTTGCACTGTTGCTGCTGTTGCTGCTGGTGATGTTGCTGCTGCCTACTGCCTGCTGCTGCCGATGCGCACCACCAATGCCCGCAACGACTGAGGCGCACCACCCACCCACGTAGTCAAAAAAGCGGCGCTTTTGCTCTGCTGGCGCTCTGCTTACGCCTCGTTTCATTTACAACAATTCATAATTTTAAAATCGCACCGAACACACTCGCCTCGTCCTCGTCCTCGTCCTCGTCCTGGCTACTCGGTCTCTGTTTTTCTGTTCAGTTTCAGTTTCTGTTTCTGTCTCGGCCTCAGGACTCGTTGGACTCGTTGGATGCTGCTGCTCTGCTTTCCTGAATGCTGCCGCTGCTGGCACTCATTTCATTTGATTTTTAACTGTCATCGACGGCAGTTCAAACCGCCAGCAACGCGTTCTCCCATTAAGTGTTTATATTATTTGAATATTTTTTTTCAAGTGAATAGAGCTCAGCAAAATAAGCTGCAAAATCTATGTTTATAGAATAATATACTCAACTCGAAAGCAAAGGTGAGAATAAAGAATCCGATTTGAAGATCTGAAAGTGTTGAAAAGCAAACTAAAAGTTTGCTTAAAAATAAGTTTCATATAAATAAACTGTGGATCGGTAACTAACTTGCTTTTTTTAAATACTCAAATTTTAAAGCCTTAAAAACAAAATATAGAATAGATTAAACGGAAAAAATTAAGCAAATAAGTTTAGAGAACATGAACCTTACACTTTCCATTTGTTTCCAACATTTGATCCAAACAACACGTCCTATCTGTTATGCACTCAATGAAATAAATCCACACTACATCAATCCATCCACCCGTACAATCCAACGTGAACTTCCAAGTGCCGCTGGTGAAATTATTTAGCCATAACTCAAACGCGTCCAAGGGTTGCACTCCACACTCCACACACCAAACACTTTTCGGATCAACCATCATGGAGAACCTGTCAGAAAGGGTTCAAATCAAATTCGATTTGGGCAACGATGTGTTGCATGCGAGTCTCCGGCAGCGGGCAAAGTTGCAAATGAAATTTTGTCAAATTTTCGGGCGACGCACACGCATACGGACACGGATACACAGATACGGACAACGGACAACGGACAGGGATCCGGATGCGGTCGCCGGGGCCGGGGTCTCTGCCTGTCTGCCGCTCAGTCGACACACATGGACAGAGAGCCACAAGTGGCACATTATTTTAATTCGCAGTCAAACGCTGTAACGTTAACACCGCAACGACATGTCACCAACAAACCAACAAGTTCATTTGTCTGCGTATTTGCGTGTGTGTGAGAGGGGTTGTTTGAACAGAGGGCGGGGAGCAGGGCTCTCAGACAGGCAAGGGTTAAAAAAGGGAAGACTGAAAAGCACTAAGTAATTTATAAATTCATATAGATTATAGGTGGAAATGTTGTAACTGTAGGACTTACGCATTTTCAATATAATTGTTACGGATACGTTAATATTCATTTGGATTCTTATTTTTTAGAAAGCACTAAGTAATTTATAATTATTATTGTTAAAAATAGGTTGCTATTCATTTGGATTCTAAATTCTGATCTTTTAATAGGTTGTATAATTACAAATAGCGGGAAATAATTACACGATCAGCAGAAACAGTGTTTGAAAGTTCCTTATAAAGCCCCACGTTGGGCGCCATTAGCAGGAGTCATCCAGCCTTGCCAAGATCAAAACGAAACCATTCTGCGCTCGGGGTTGCACACCAGGTGAACTTGCGAGGGTTGCTGCTGCTGCCCAACTCCACGGGTGGGGAGATGAACTCCAGAGAGTTTCGGAAAGGAGTGGAGTGGAGTGGACAACTTATCGCTGTTTGATATGCTGTAATTATGTTATAAGGTTGCCCAGCCCAAGTGCCAGTTAAGTGTGTGCTTACAAGGGTTGCCCGCAGTCGGCCGTTTCAATCGAATTCACATCTGCCGGGGGTGGCTCACATAAATCCGCAGCCTCGATGATGCGACATCAATCAGCTGGGCAGGCTCTCGAGTGGGCGGTTGTTCACCACCCGCGGGGATTACTCTCTACTTTGGATTTAATTGCCGCACTGTTTGCGAAGCGCATTAAAAATATTATGCAAAAGTTAGTTCGCAGCTTCTTCCACCGCAGACGAAAGACAAACAAAAGTCGGACCAACTCGGGATGCACTTTGCGCATTAATCTCAGCCACTGGTAGTTCGTAGTTGCCGGAACAAAAGTTGCGAAGAAACTTGGGCTTGGGCCATAAAGGAAAGTTGGAGACAGCTGCTGATTGAATATTAAAATGCTGCCAGTTACGCTCGCTCCAACCCGCAAGCAAATCCCCATAAAAAACCGAGGCAATTAAAGCCCTGCCCAGCATCAATCAGTGCCGGGAAAATCAACGGAATTTCCACCCCCCACCCACCGATTGCCAGATGCCAGGATGCCCACACCTACTCCACCGCCAAACGCCCACCGCCCACCGCCAACGCGCCTTAATTAGCATAATCTAATTTCAACTTTTGTCGCAAAAATTCCCCCGATCCTCTTACAAATTTTACCTCCACCGAACAACGGCTGCCAAAAAATGCAAATCAACGCCATCCATCGTCCCCCAATCTCATATACATATTCCTTTTGCGACAGTTGAAAACTTTATATATTTTTACAACGAAATGAAAAAACAATAAAAATAAAAAATGCCACAAATCCAACATGGAAGAGCAGAAATAAACAGAAGGAATGCAAATTGGTGGATGGAAATCTACAGAAGAGAAGAGTACCTTAAAAAATAATACAAAATTTATTAGGGAGATACAAATATTTATTAAATAGCATGAGTTCATTTTCTACCAGGATTAATGTATTAAATTGTTTAATAAGCAGATTTCTGCAAAGGTTAGTTAGTTAGTACCTTAACTAATAATACAAAAATTAATGGGGGAGATACAATTTTTTACTAAATTGGATAAATTCATCTTCTAACTGAATTTATGGGTTTATTTTTTAAAAAAGCATATTGCTGCAAAGGTTAGTTATCATTAAAAGGTGATTCCCCTGTTTTTCAATGACTTCCTGTCTATTCCTTCAAATCCTTTTCTGGTTTATCACAGGGTATTTAGTAACAGGCGTCGGCGGTGGCTTGTTAAAAACTTTTTAAATGCGAAAATGAAAGAGCAACAAGGCAGCCTGTTGGAGAATTCAGAGGTGGGGATGCTGGTGAAGAGGGAAAGAGGGGAACTGGGGGTGTCGGGATGCTCCTGGTTAGAATTGACAGGCGCAGGATACAAGCAGCCAGGACACGGCGTCAAGTGCCTCAACAGTTTGGCAACACAACAATTGAGTTTGTCCTCCAATGTTCGCGGAAATGGTAAAAGGGGCGTGGCAAAAAGAGGGGTGAAAGGGGGTTGAGGGGGTAAAGAGAGCAGAGGGGGATGTCACTGCTGTTGAAACATTTAATTTACTGGAATTTGGCGCAATGTGTGTAAGCTTATTAACAGCTCGGAAAATCTGCGGGGAGTTTAACTCGGTACAAAAAAAAATAGAAGTGGGGAAAAGCGTTCGGGGTGGCGCTTTTATCGCCTGTTTTTCTATGCAAATTTCAACTGTTTTCGGGGACTGAGCACAGATGTTGGCTTAATAAAGTTATAACAAAGGTAGCTTAGCTGGCGGCAGCTGTGGAACAATGGGTTCAATGTATATTGAAGTTTATGACCACGCGATGGTGGATCTATGTGGATCTATATGTGATAAAGTGAGTTTACTGAAGGTCGGGGAAAGTCTGAAATAATAAGTGATATCAAATGCAAATGATAATGAAAATCTGAAATAATAAACGATTTCAAATACAAATGATGGAGATAGTTACATATATATTTTATATAGATATTATATTATATTATACCTCATTCTCCTAATTATTTCTAAGATTTTATTTACATAAGTTTAGGAGGGGTTTTTCTGCATTTTCTATTTAATTTACTTTAAAGACATTCCACCCAAGAAAACCCACACTCGAAAACCAAGTTATCCTCACTCACAGCAAACAGAAAATTGCGATTTAATTGTCCCTTGAGTAATGGAAAGCATGGAAAAGCGGTAGCATGGAAAAGGCGGGGAAACTTCACTCCCAAGACAATGCAAATATCCTCCTACACAAATATAAATCTCGAGTGACTTCAGCCACAGAACTTAGCCAACGTCTTTGTGTGTTTCTCCCCTTTCTTTTTCTCCAGCAGCAACAGCAGCAACAACAGCAACAGCAGCAACAACAAGCGATGAAGGACACCAGCAGCAGCAGCAGCAGCAACATCTCGTCGAGCGGCGCAGCGGGAATGCCTTGCAACATTGCCGCCGCAGGAGGAGCAACAGCAACAGCAGCAGCAGCAACAACAGCAACCACTGGCAGTGCCACGCCCAGTGCGCCCAGTACGCCCACAACAGCAGCAGCAGCAGCGGCGGCGGCAGCAGCAGCAGACGCAACAGCAACAGCGCCGCAGAACCCGCAGCAACGCGGCAAGAGCAACATCCACGAGCTGAGGAATCAGGACTACGTGAGTCGGCTAATGGCTGCCACGCCCCCCTATTTGTACTCCGCCCCCGTGGGACCGAACAACTTCTTCTTCAGCGACATGCTGCGTTCGCTGGTGCAGGCGCGCAACAACGAGACGGCGCGCGTGCTGCAGCTGCAGCAGCAACAGCAACAGCAGCAGGCGGCACAGCAACACCAGCAGCAACAACAGCAGCAGCAGCAGCAACATCAGGCTGCCTTGGTGCGACGGCCAAGGAAGCGATCCTGGTCGCATCGCCCATACTACGAGCAACTGCGAGAGCGTCGCGATGCCGAGGAGAAGCAACAGCAACAGCAGCAGCAGCAGCAACACCAGCATCATCAGCAACACCAGCAGCAACATCAGCAGCAACAGCAGCAACTGCAACACCAAATGGCGCCGGAAAAGCCACTCGAACTGACCAACAAAGCAATTGCACCCTATGGTTATGCCAAACTGGAAGCCAAGCCACCGATGGCACCTGCAACGGCAACAGTTGCTCCGCCAACTACCTGCAACAAGGCGGGCTTGGACACCAGTTTGCAGGACAACACACCGCCGGCTGCCTCGTTGCCGCCGCAGGATTTGGTGTTGCCACCGCCGCCACCAGTTTGGTATCCACCGCTCTACGCACCCTACGGCATCGATCCGCTGCACTTCTTCATCGATCTGCGCGTCTCGGGTCACATCTACGATCGCAAGAAGGAGAACGTGTCGCCGCTGTCGAGCAGCAACAATGCGATTATCGCCGACGAGGGATCGCCCGGTTCGAACTGTTCCAGTTCGGGCGCCACTTCCGTTTCCGCTTCCGGTCTGGCTGGCAATCTGCTGAGCAAGCAGCGCCACGGTTCCGCCTTCACGGTTCCCATTCCGAAGGCGGCCCAAAACGATGCCATCAATCTGTGCCAATCCAATGCCGCCGCTTCCACCGGAGGCTTGACCGGCGGTGGGTTAACCAATCAGCTGGGCAGCAAGTTTGAGCACTACGCCAAGTACTATGATCTCGGCGAGACGAAGGAGAATCAGCCTTCCAGCACGGCGGCAAATCTTTCGGCAGCCGCCGCTGCTGCCGCCGCAGCTGCGAATCTATCGAAGTCGGGCGCCAGCTACATGCTGCAACATCTGCCGCGTCTCTACAGCCAGTTTGCGGCACACCAGGCGCAGGTGCAGAGCCAGGACACGGATGCCAAGTCGGAGTCGGCCTCGGTTAGTGCCTCGCTTTCCGTTCCCGATCTCTGCGACGATGACTCGTTGGGCCGGCACTCCAGCGACACGAATGCGGGTGCGGATCTGGACGGGAATGGCAGTGGTGGTGGTGGTGGTGGACAGGGCAACTGCGACATCGATGTGGAGATCATCGACTCGATCAAGTATCGCACGGATGGCGAGAGCAGTCGGTGTTCCAGCAACGACGAGGCATCCATCACGCAGATCGATTGATCCACTGCAAAAGCAATAAAAGTTTATCAATAAAGTTAATGGTGTGAACGAAGCATTTTGAGGGGATTTAATGAGTGGGGAAAGCGGGTTTCGATGGGGTAAGCTAAGTTCAAAGGTTAACTTACCTAAGAGTAGTGTTAAAAGTTAAAGGAAAAGTTGGATAAAGTTAGGTTGCATAGAAACAGCCATAAATTAGATGTGTTAAATGGATATTCCATCCTGAAGAGTGATATGAATCCGTCTCATTAGCCATTTCCATTTCCACAGCAGACTTGACAGCTTCCATCCAAATTTGTTTCCTTGCCAGGGGGAAAACCCCCTCCTCCTTGCTGGTTTTTCCTCCGCTTCCTCGGGAAAAAGCAGCGGTAAAAGTAATTTCATAAATCATTTGACGCCGTCGTCGTCGCTTGTTGGTTCATCTTCCTTGTTGTTGCTGCCTCAAGGCAGTTTTTAAATGTCGTCGCGCGAATTGTTGGCCAACCAGCCCACCCAATAGGAAAAAAAATAAAATAAAAATAAAAAAAAAGAGAGAGAGAAACCTTCACCATACCGCCAATGGAGCATTACACGCCTGACTACGCTTTGTGTAAATTAAAACTGCTGCCGGCTGCTGGCTGATGACGATGACAACGCCCCCGAATTTCCCTCCCAATCCCCGCAGTTTTCCGCAATTCCCTTGCATTGCTCTCAGCTTTTTTTTTTTTTTTTTTTGCTGTTCCCTTTCAGCGCCACAGGATATTAATTTTTACACCATTCATTGATTTTGTTTGCTACCCGGTTGCTTAATGAACAACACATGCAGTGCAAAGTGAACGGGGGGCGTGGCGACTTGTGCGTTCACCAGGCTCGTTTCCGTTTCCGCTTTCATTTGTGCGGCTCCTTGTTTTTTCCAGCCAGCGGTGTTATCAAACGTATGGATATCCATGAGTTTGCAAATTTCTGCACATTGAGGCAGAAAAAGTGCACCGAAAGCCAATCAAAGCAGCAGCTGAAACATAAAAAAATCAAAAAAACGAGTACAGTCTGCACCAAAAGCTGTCGATAAAAATTTGCATGAACGGCAAAAGGAGATGGGGGGATAACAAAAAAGAAAAAAAAAGGAACGGAAGTGGAGCTCATCATCATTGTGTAATCAAAGTAAGTAGCAAAAAGAGATAGCTGCGAAATTGAAATTCAACCTAATTGCAGGAAATTTATAACTCAACTTAACAGCTGACAGATTTTTCCCTTTTAGCTGCTGGCGGTTGAATTTTCCAGTCGAAGGAAAAGGAGGAGGGTCCTGTCATGAATACTTGCGTACTTTTGTTATGCTCTCGAATTCATAAATCTTGGCAGACGCTCATAATTCATGCAACAGTCGACAATTGGCAGCGGTTTCCACTCAAGACGTTGGGTGGTGGATGGTTCACCATTACAGCGGCAACAAGCTCAACTTGCGGCAAAAACAAATTTTACCAATGACAAGACGGTCTAACCGGCAACCGAAGAACAACAATAACAATAAGAAAAAAATGTTAAGGAAAACCCACTGGAGGAGCGAGGAAAATCCTTTGGAGTGGGACTCTTTCGACAAACAATGAATGCAGCTTATCCCAAGGGGACCCAAAGTACTTGGGCGTGTTGACAGCTTAAAGCTTTTCCCTAATTGATAGATTTGTGTACTTAAATCGAAAGGAAAAGAATAGGAAGGGTTATCTTTGAAAGAAACTATGGATAATATTCAGTACACTCTTTCAGAAGTTATTTAAATTAATTAGGAAAAGGATTATAAAAGCATTTAATAAACTTTTTTAATCCTTTCCTTTTACCTGGACCATATTTTCTTGTAAGTCTACACAAATTGTTAACGAAACCTTGTTTTAAAAATCACAATTGATTGACTTGTTTACGTAAATCGAAAACTAATTTTGAAAATCACAATATTTACTAAATCGCTTAAAAACAATTTAAATATTACTTACTTACTTATATTACTTAGTAATTACAAAATATATATAAAAATATAGAAAATGTCATTAAAATATACATTTATTTAAATTTTAATTAATATTGTTTGTTTTAAACTTGTTTATTTTTGATTCAAAAGTAAACGAAAACGTTTCTAGTGGCGCCACCTGTGGATTGAAAGTCAACAGAGGAAACTCACAGTGTTGCCATATGTGTTAAGAAACTTAAGTTTAGTGCTGCCCATCGCTATATTTTCTTACACAGAAAACTCAAAGTGTTGCCATATGTGTTAAGAAACTTTATGTTTAGTGCTGCCCATCGCTAAATTTGCTGACACAGAAAACTCACAGTGTTGCCATATGTGTCAAGAAACTTAAGTTTAGTGCTGCCCATCGCTAAATTTGCTTACACAGGCAGCACTCTTAAGGCGCGCTTTTTTTAAACGTTTCCTTGATTTGCATATCTGTTACTCAAAACAATTAACAGCCAATCGAAAGTCAAACTACGCAAACAAATTAAATCAGATTAAATTAAAGCACACACAAAAAGTCTTGCATTTACCACAAAGAGCGCTATTTGGCCTTCGGCAAATTATCATGTGATTGTGAGTGCTCGCATTTTATTTTTTCTCGTTTTTTTGTAGTTAGTATTTATTCTGCTTTTGTTGTCTTTTTCCACTACACGTTTTCTTCGGTTTTTTTCGTATTAAATTCATGCTTGTAAATGAGTTCGAAATGCTGATTATATTAAAAGAGGAACGCGCTTTATTTGCTCATACATATTTATGAGAAAATTTTCCAGATAGAGTTCGTTGTGATTTTTATATTTGATGTTATTTATGTATGTTATTTATTTAGTTTCGTTTTGCTAATTGTGGCAGCACGTCAACAAAATAAAATCAAAATTTCGTTCATGCTGTTTGCAAAAACGTCAAATAGTTTTTGTTTACGTTTATTTTTTTGACAAGTATTTTTTAACTGCGCATTTCTTCAACAACAAAAAATAACAACAATGGCAAGGGAGGTTTTAAAGTAAAAAAAAAAAGAATAAAAGAAAACGATGATAGGTGGCAAAGCAAAAAGAAGACGCAAAATCAAAGACAAATGTAATGTAAACGGGATCATTTTGCGTCTGTTGACAAAGCGAGGCTGAGTGCGAGAAAGATGGCAAGATACAAGGTAAGCGAGTTAGAGGGAGAAAAAACGACGTACGCTAAGAGAGGGAGCGAAAGAGAGCCGACCAAAGAGAGTAAAAGAGACTCGCCGTTATTTGTTTGACATTTAACAAGAGCAACAATAACAAAATATAACAACAAAACAAAAATAAGGGAAAGATGGAGAGTGTCATTTGTTTAATATTTTTAATAACAAACTGGAAAAGGTGTAACAACAAAAGTAAAGTACATACATACAAACAACACCTTGGCAAGTAAAACACGACATTAAATATTCTGCAAGAAAAAATTCAACAGCGAAAATAACTTTATATGCAAAAACGTTGAACATAAAACAACACATCGAAAATGTCCCCCAAAGAAAATACAAAAACTATAATACAAAAAAAATGCAAAAATGGCAAAAATCAAGCTAAGAATTTATCAGCAAAACAGTTGGAAAAATACAAAACAAAAGAAAACTCAAACAAAAAGTAAACAAACAAAACAGCGATAACAAGAAAAGACACAACAAAACAGAATATAAATGTATGTACATATGTATGTATAAACACCTACGAAAACAAGTAGTATTAACCAACCTACAACAATTATTAAAAAAACGATGAAAAGAAAATGGGAAGTCAACACCAAAAACATACATATAAGAAAAATGCCATAAAAATAAACAAAGATTAACGAAAGTGTGTGGAAGGGGGAAACCGTTGACTTCTATGCAATTTTCCACCTATTTTTACCCGCTCTTTATGCGAAGCAAAAAGAAAGAGTGAGAAGAAGAAGGAGAGAGAGTGAGCGCGCTCAATGCAAACAAAATTAAACATGTCTAAATGCGTCCGTCTGCCTGCCACCCACAGCCCCGCCCCCCTAGTTTACCGCCCTCTCCCCCTTCCTCTTTTTCTCGTCTCTTTCTTCGACCTCACCTAGACAATAAGGTAAATGAAAGGAAAGAAGGAGAAAACGCACTGTGAAACGAAAATGCAAATTAAAATGGGATAAACCACTTACAGATGTGCATAATCTTACCGATCGATCAATAGGTATCCATCGATAGAGTGAAAATTTGAATGGAGGAGGTCAAGCACTTTAAAATTCTAATTCCCTTTACTATAAAAATCATCCAAAAACATCAAGATCAATCGATCGACTGGCAGAACAACAGTGGATGTTCCAATTGGAAATTTAAAATTTATGCCAAATTTCGTAACCCCAGACCACTGTGCGCCGTAAAAGCTATCTCGTTGGCGTCCCATCATCAACATTTTTCGGGCTATATAGCCTCCGATTCACATCTCTACACCTCAAGCTGCTAAAAATGTTTTTGTTAATGCCTTTAGAATTCGCTTTTCTGTATCTCTACTTATTTTTCTCTCGACTGCGTCGCTTTTGATGATCGTTTTGTTTTCAGTTCATTGAAATTTAATACATCAGCCGGCACCATTCACGGGATCGGAATATTCGGGCGAAAATAATCGACACTTACACTTTATAATTGTTTACTTAGACTTTGTATCAAATAATAAAACATAACTCAATTATAATGTGTTTTATACACAATTCCAAGTATAGGAAAGATATGAGCAGTTGTTTAAGTAGAAGTATGCTAAAAAAAATCTCAAGGAAATTTATTTGTATACTGTACTAAAGATTGCTATTGATATTTTCAAAATCCCTTGACGTTTTGGTAAAGGTCACGCCAATTATTCACTACCCCCTTACTATATCCCCACTATATCTATGTACATACATATGTATGTATGCATGTATGTATGTACATACCATCTCTAATCCCATTCTTTGACCGGTTCTGATGTCAACTGCGTGTGATATTGTGCGTGTCTTTTAACTGCATTTAATTTCGGTGCTCTCGGCATTTGCATATTTTCGTGGCTGATCCGAAACTACGAAATTGGATGGTTTGATGG